AACCAAATGAGCAACGGTTGCCCATGGGTGAAGGAGGAAGAGTTGTTGCTTAGGGGTATTGAGTTTATGTTCATGGTGGTGGGATCATTTGGAAAAGGAGATCAATAATGGTTGGATCTGAAGAGTATGATCAGTGGCACTGAATTATACATGTGGAAGTGGTTGAATTGGAGAATGCTTTGTTGGGTATGTTTTTGCCACAATTATAAAAAATAATTACATGAATAACAATGAGTACAAGGAAGAAGAAAGTCTTCTAGAATCGATTGCACAACTTTTCTTGTTTTGATTGAATTATATGACATGTGAATTAAGTGCCAGTAAAACTGTTGTTTTTATTTTTTATAAAGGTTGTATGTTTGAAACCAACTGGCAGCACCATGGGAGACAGGCCTGGTGATCTTCTGGCGGGATGACAACTCACCCCCACAGAGCTGATCTCCATGCTGCACGACTGCTCGGGCAGTTAGAACTGCCCTTGGGGTTTCTGAGACTGTGGCTTTTCGTGGGGGTAGGAAAACCTCATCTCCTGAGGAGTGCTAGTGGCTTCAAACTGCTGGCCTTGTGGCTAGCAGCCCAATGTGTAGCAATTGCACCACTAGGGCTCAAAATGCCCTATGGTGAAGTTCTACTCTGTAACACACGGGGTCACCAGTGTTAGAAAACACTCAATGGCAATAGATTTTTTTTTTCTTTTAAGATTTATACTCCAATTAGTTGGGACCTTAAAAAAGGAAGATTGGTAGCTTTCAAAGAAGATGATCTTTGAGGGTTGGGTAGAGCCATTAAAGGGGGAATTGAGGTTGGAGAGTGTAAAGGTACCGGTCAGGTTTTCAAGAAGGGCAGAAGAGTAGAGAAGAGGTTTATGGATTGAGTTTGATGTCCTCCTAGGATGGTGCATGGGCAGCTTAGGTGGCTGCCAATGGTTCTGGTCGATCAAAGGGAAGGGGGACAAGGAAGGAAAAGTATGGGTCAAGAAACATCTTTACGCCGTCAAGACCTCACAGCTGCAGGATAAAAAAAATCCTTCTCTTTCCCATACATCCAGACCCCATACTGCGCCAAGATGGGAGGCCGTTGAACTCAGGCATGCCGTGATGGGGCGGGTGTGAGCTGTGGGCTTGTGTGTGTCCACCCATGTTTTAATGTTACCATGGTTTGGGGTTTGTCTTTGCCTTTCAGAACATCTGGTTGCAGGACAACAGAAATGAGGATGCTGGTCAAGCTTTTATTTTGTATTTATTGGTATTATGCAGCAGAAGACCATTTCTTCCCCAGTGAGGGCTGATGACAACACTTGCTCTTTATTTTCCCCGTATCCCTTCCGATGCTCTGACCTGATGCCTCCTTCTTGCCCGGGGCTGCCCGAGGAGAGAAGCAGGAATGGAGTTAATGCTTACAGGCTTGTTTTTTTGCCTGGCAGTTTTGCTTGTGGCCCAGGGGGACTAATGGTGACCTCCCTCCTATGTCTCTGCCTCCTCCTCTCACCTCCCAGACTGCCTCCTGCCAGGCTCCACCCAGGATTTCTTTAAGGATAAGAAGGAATCCTCCTGGGTGTTGGGGAGGGTCTTCTACAGAGGCTTCTGTCCTGCTATATAGCCTCCTTGTCCACGGCTGCCTGAATGTCCCTTGCAGCCAGGAGCCCAGACTTGATGGCAGTGTCTATCCAGGCATGGGGCACACTGGTATGCTCCCCAGCAAAGTGGATGTGGCCCTCTGGCTGGAAGAGGTGTTGTGAAAAGTCCACAAATTGGTACGGTGTGAACTCGGCAAAAGCACCTATGGTGAAAAAGTCCAGGGCCCAGTGCTTGACGACAGAGGAAGGGCACATGCCCCGCAGGGTATCCTTGGGAATCTGATGCACGGCTGCCAGGTCATCCAGGACAATGTCCACCACCTGGTCTTGCTGCATGGATAAGAAGAACATGGAATCGTCATCCAAAGTGTACGAGGCTAGCAGGATGCCCTTGCCGTTGGGCAGGCTGTGGCTGGGGTAGTAGATGTCGCGCGAGGGTCGGTCAGTGATGGAGACTCCGCCGTGGATGCCATCGCGCTCCCAGAAGGACTCGTTACAGGCCAGAATGACTTTGGTGGCGCTGGTGAAATGCAGCGCGCGGAGCGCATCTGCCTTACGCGGGGAGAGAGGTGGCTTAAAGGTGATGAGGCGGGTGGCTTTAGCTGAGGCGGAGATGATGACATAGTCCGCGGTGATGGTGTGCACGCCTGTGTTGGGTCCACCAACTTGGTAGGAAATCCGGACCTCAGGCCCATCTCTCACGACCATTTCCACCTTGGACCGCAACTGGATGGTGCCGGCCTCCAAGCTGGCACCTAGGGCCTTGGGGAGCTGGTCAAAGCCGCCTGTGATCTCACTGAAGCTGCGAGGGTGAAGAGAGGGGAATGGTGAGAGGCCCCTGAGCTGGATCAACATTTGAATTGATCCAGGCATTCCTGATCTGAAAGGGAGGAGGGTTATTTCCTGCACTCTTTGTCGGGTATTTCTTAAACATTGTTATTCATCCCTGTGAGGTCCGTATGGTCAGAAACCTGACAGGCAGAAAGAAGAAATGGTTTGCCCAGGATCACACAAGACTCTTACTCCATGGCTCACACGATAGCTACCGTGCAATGCTACTTCCCACGAGGAAGGGAGACATACAGTGTTTTGTGTGCACAGACCTGCATTTGGAATCTGGGTTTGGCTCTATCCCTTGCTTCACTTGTGTGAACTTGGGTAAAATTGGCTCCGAGAACATAACTTCTACAAGCCTCCCCATCCTAGTCTGTTAAATGGCTTTGTGTAATAATAAATGCACCTCACCTTATTTGTCATCATAGAATTAAATATGATGATTCTTGGAAAGTGCGTAGCATTGTGCTTAGCACTCAGTAAAGACTCAATAGATCGTAGTTTGCTTTATCTGTGATGAGTTTTGGAAGAGAGGACTCGGGAGAGATCTTAGCCCTGGCTCCAGATCAGTCTCACCCATCATTGTTGGAGACAATCATATTAATCCGCAGGGACTCTAGGAGAGATTTATAGTATCCAGCATCTTCATTCAGCAAGTCACCGATCATCTCTACTGCTCCTCGGCTCAGCATCCCTTCCCTTAGCAGGTAAGCCTGTGGGGATGGGGTTACAATATGTGTTGATGCCCAGTCTATAGGAAGGGGCTTCAACAGTGTCCTGGCCAGAGGCTAGGCAAGGGATAGGGCTGGATTCTAGGGAGATGACGGCTCTGGCAGTGGGGAGAGAAAGTCATGGGTAGGCATAAGACAACCCCAGGGGACTATGCTGAACACAGACCCCCTTTACTTGTAACCTGAAACTTCTCTGCCCCTCTTACCTTGGTGGAATAGGAGTCATATAAGGACATCAGTTGGCTGCAATTGAATGTTTTCAGATTTTCTTTGAGCTGTAGAAGAGGGGGGAGTCTTAGATTAGAGCAATGTGTCAGAGTCAGGACTCTTGAATTCTCTGTCTATGGGGTGCATGGGCAAGTGAGGATGGAAGAATGGGGGAAGGGAGGTTCTAGAAGTCCCTAAATGGCCTTCTAACCAATATCTCCCTCTTAAAAAAAAGCTTTCCAGATACTAAATATTTAGCTGAAAAGGAAGGTAGACTGATTACCAAGGACTGGGTTATCTGGTGACTACCTTTTCTTCTACTGCCACTGAAAAAGCAACGGGCTATCGAATCCAAGGCCAGGAGACGGGTTGGCATTAGGCCAACACTTGGGATGGGAGCATTCTAAAAGGTCTGAGAGAGATGGAACACCAATAACCACAAAAGTGATTTGGTTGACTTGAGTCCACCTGCTAATTTGCCAGGTGACCTTAGGCCAGCCCCCATTCTTTCCTGACCCTGGCAGGAGTCAGACAGGAGGCACCTTGTTGATGGACTGATGGAAGAGATTTATTGCACTCTTGCCCTTCTCCGTGGGGTGCACAGAGTAGCCTAGGAGTTCTGGGTTGGCCTTGACCTCCCAGGCACGATAGCGTTTTCCATTGATGAAGTACCAGGTATTGGGATCATACTGGATGAACTTGTTCAACTTCAAGCCAAGCTTCTGGATATAGGTGTGGACAAGCCTAGAACAGACACAGGTAGGACATGAACCCTCTCCCGAGGATCCCTCATTCCTGCAACCCTCACACTAGAAACCATTTCCAGGAAAACTGTCTCCAGGCAACACAGACTCTTTCTGTGACTCTACTCTAGTTTCCTCTCGTTGCCGCTTTAGTATTTTGCTTTCTTTTTGGGTCCTGCTGCAAAAAGAATGTGGGAATTCACCAAGCATCGAATAAAGATTCTTTGGAAATAGCACTGTATCAAATTCAATGGTAGAAACAGGGCCTCTTTGTTCCAGCCAGTGTTTGAAATTCATTATTCCATTTCTAAGTAAGCCCTCGGCAATATCTAAAGATTCTGCATTTGGTCCGGCTTACTTGGTGTTGGTTTTGTCGGTGTTTGGGGAGAAGCCGTGGTTCCGGTTTACACTTAAGGCAAACAGACACCATAATGGTGAAGGTGTGTGAGACCCCAGGGCGTGAGTCGCTTCTGCCTTTGAACCAGGAACGAGGTTCTTTTGCATTTGTTAGTTACAGCTTAGGGTTAAACATAAAATTCTGTGCCCAGTGCCTCCTGAACTTTGAAGAGAAACCCTGTCACGTTCTCACAGGAGAACTGCTGAGCCCCATTTCATTTGTAAATTGGAATAAGATGAGTTTCAAATTATATGGTTGCAAGGATCAACTGAAACAATGTCCATACAGTGTTTGGCAGTAGGGCATGGTACACAGTATTCAATAAATGGTAGGCGCTATTATTATTTTACTGTTTAATGTGAAATAATCGACTCTTCAGACATAAAGAACCCGATTTCATGAGTTAACAGTAACTATTATGACTATTAGTTTGGAATCCACCACTTTCTGTGTGACCTGGGCTCTGAGCTTCACCTTCTT